GGGGGGGGGGACGGCGAGAGGGAGAGGGAGAGGGAGAGAGAGAGAGCGAGAGAGAGAGAGCGAGCGAGAGAGAGAGAGAGGCGAGCTGAGCCTGGGCTCTGTACAACACAGCAGTGCAATAAATATCTGGGTTTACCGTCGAGACGTACACACAAAAAAAGGAAGGGGAAAGGGACAGACGCGCATATTACTCGTGCACGTGCCACAACAAGGACCGACCGCGCCGTGCCATTCGCGAAATTTACCTCCCGTGTAGCTACATACGAGACCTCACGAGTTGAGTGATGTTGGATAGTGCCGGACACATAGACGCTTTGAGTCAGAAAAGACACATGCTGAAACCTCACAGGTGATTTGCATTGGAGATTGCCGGACACCTAGACGTGTTAAGTGAGAATAGCTACAAACTGAAACATCACAGATGGATTGGTTTTTGAGTTTGCTAGACACTTACACGCGCTGCGTGGGGATAGCTACAAACTGAAACCTCACGAGTTGAGTGATGTTGGATAGTGCCGGACACATAGACGCTTTGAGCTAGAAAGACACATGCTGAAACCTCACAGGTGATTTGCATTGGAGATTGCCGGACACCTAGACGTGTTGAGTGAGGATAGCTACATACTGAAACCTCACACATGGATTGGTTTTTGAGTTTGCCAAACACATATGGTCCGTGCACAACAATTTGTCCAATTTTTTCTCTGCACACAGGTGGTCGTTCGGACATCCGAAAGTACCGGCAAACGCCCTGTTTCCAGGCGCATCCCTCTACGGAGAGATTTTTCGATTTTTTTTATTCCTTGCCTTTTTATCTTCGAAAAACGGTGAAATTTTGTATCGTTTCCGCTGGGTCGTGTTTTTAGCCGATATAAAAAATCTCAACGGATTTGAGCGTATCTCGGAATTCTGGACATGGGGTTTTTTTTTTTTTTGAAAATACTAGTTTGTGACGAAGATATCGACGAAAAACTGGATTTTGGAGGCCAAGTTGTATCGTTTCTAACTACAAAACTGACCGTACGATTTAAAAACAAACAGCGGCAATCGATTGCTCTGGTCAATCCCCAGATGGGTTATTTCCTCTTATTCCAAGACAAACGAAATTTCACGAGATGTCGCCATTGTTGTTGGTCCATCATGGGAGAAAAAATCGCCAGCAGCCGCTGTGCACACACAGCAACAAACACCCACACGCGGACACACACAGGCCCATGCCACGGGCGAAGAAGAGGAAGCTCGGCCGTGGGTCGGATGGGCGGATAGTTTCGAAGGCCCCGGCACAGCAACATGATCCTCCGGCGTCTGCCGCCGATGTGCCTTCCGTTGGGGACGCACCCGGCGACAGCAACGCTTGTGGCGGCCGTGCTTCTTCTATGGATGAAGATGAGAAAGGGGCTGCGGCAAACGACGAAGACTGGTGCGATGAGGAACCCAGCAGGAACCACAGCAGTGGTGGGGTTCAGTCGATACTGAGGTTCGCAGGGCGTGCTGTGGTATCCGCAGCTTGCTCGGCAGCAAACAAACGCGGCGAGAAAAACAAAACGCGCCGTGTTTTCTCTCTCACGAAGCCAGCAATCCCGCCGCCGAAAAGCAGNGCGACAGCAACGCTTGTGGCGGCCGTGCTTCTTCTATGGATGAAGATGAGAAAGGGGCTGCGGCAAACGACGAAGACTGGTGCGATGAGGAACCCAGCAGGAACCACAGCAGTGGTGGGGTTCAGTCGATACTGAGGTTCGCAGGGCGTGCTGTGGTATCCGCAGCTTGCTCGGCAGCAAACAAACGCGGCGAGAAAAACAAAACGCGCCGTGTTTTCTCTCTCACGAAGCCAGCAATCCCGCCGCCGAAAAGCAGCTTTGGGGCGCCAAGTCGTGGGCTTGGCCAACACCATGGAGATGTTTCTGGAGCGTGCGCGACGGCAGCAGATTATTGTTGTTCGTTGTTTTTCTGGCCCTTCCGAGGAGTTGACTGTATCTGGCCAGTATTTTTCTGACCCTTCACGCAGAGTGTTGCATGTGTATTTTTTCCGGAGAAGTTTGTACTTGTTCCCGTGTGGTGTAGACACAGCAAACATTGCAGAAGCTGCAGTGGAGATGTTTGTTTGCAGAAATTTAATGGCGTGTAGGTGGTCTCTGTAACATTTGTACAGTGGGTAGTGGTGTTCAGGGGGTCCCGTGATGTCATGAGAGGGTACGGGGGGTACATAAGGGGGGCACCGTGGATCATTTTCTCCGAAAATGTTGCATTTTCACCAAATTAAAAAAACTCCTCGGATATCGACGTAACTCGATGAGGCCGTCACGACCAACGTTGTGTCACGTTCCAATTCTTTTTTTTTCACCCAAAACTGAATTGGACAAATCGTTGTGTACGGACGATAGACGCGCCGCGTGGGGATAGCTACATACGAGACCTCACGAGTTGAGTGATGTTGGATAGTGCCGGACACATAGACGCTTTGAGTGAGAAAAGACACATGCTGAAACCTCACAGGTGATTTGCATTGGAGATTGCCGGACACCTAGACGTGTTGAGTGAGGATAGCTGCATACCGAAACCTCACACATGGATTGGTTTTTGAGTTTGCCAGACACTTAGACGCGCTGATTGGGGATAGCTGCATACTGATACCTCACGAGTTGAGTGATGTTGGATAGTGCTAGACACAGACGCTTTGAGTGAGGATAGCTGCATATTGAGACCTAACGGGTTGAGTGACGTT